AAATTCATTTGTGGTTTACATTCATGTAATATGGAGCCTTCAAAATGTGTGAGGCACTGTATCATAAAGCTTACATTAAATACTTTCTGGTATGATAAATTACGCATCAACAGTGAGAATAATATCGCTGGCTAGAGTCATAATATTGAAATTCGGAGCACATAGAAATCAAAGCTTACCAGCTCCAATAGCATAGACATTCTTTAGACCACCCATGACTTCATGAGTAATGAGATCACCATTATCCCACACTATAAAGTTTGGCTGCCTCAAAAATTTTGCCAATGGTTTCCTCCACTTTTCTGCTCCACAAATCCGAGCATTGGCATATTCCTTATTGTAAATCTCTGAGGCAATATTTGGTCCTCCAAGATAGAGAATGTTTTCCATTGGAACTCCAGCTGCCGAGGACACAGTCATCAACTATGATGTGAATAAGGTTGCTAATAGCTAAAGAACAATCACACCATTGCTAGAAAATGGGGTGAACAAAAAACAGAGAGAGAGAGAGAGAGAATCTTACTTGCACGGTTGATCATTTGGGTGGGGGTTATTATGCGTGGCTCGGGCTCCAACTCAGCCTCTACACCTTTTGCCAAAGAGATGATAATAGGCACTGTAATTCTCTCCTTCCAATACCTACTAATTTCCTCAAATACTTCATGGGTTTCAGTTGATGGCAATCCATTAATAACAATGTCAGCATCCCACACAGCCTCCTGTAAATTGGTCACAACCTTCAATGGGCAAAGTGGGGTGTCTATCATATTCACGCAAAATCCATCTTTTAAAAGCTCATCTGCATGTAAAATCCTATCACCTAATCTTGCCTCAACATACTTTAAATAAGCACAACGCCTAATCAATCTCCTTAACACATCTTCCCTTGAATTAATCACTTCAAATAAATGCTCAGCTGTGGACCTATCAACCGATCTACCAGGCCTTCTCCATATCCTTATTAGTACCTTATCTCTTAGATGACCATAACTATCTTGCAATAAAGCAGTAAACACACTGCCCCAAGCACCTGCACCAATGCCAACAATCCTCAACGGATCACCTTCTGCTTTGCCTATCAGAGCACGAAGCTCATCAAGCTTCTCTTCTAAAACCCCATTCAGGTTCTGAATTGACACATTTGAATACACAGTGTGATTCATTTCTTCTGTATTTCCAACCATTTTCTCTTCTCCCTCAATTACAATAAGGTCCAAGAATCCCAATATATCCTAAGCTTAATCCACCACAAAAGCCTACCTTGGTGATATATCCTAAGCTTCAGATACAAAATTGTGATCTTTAAACCACTGATCCTGGACAAACTAAATTCTCAAGGGATTTGGAGACAATCTATCCCTCGTGAAAGTACAAGAGCTCAAATCAGCAAATCAGCTAGCAAACAGAATACCAACTATAGATTTAATCTATAAGTGGGTTTTGATGGCAAAATCAAAAACAAATCTTTCTATTGACCCTCTAGAACATGACACAATAAGATGCAAAATGGGCTTTGGCACACGGTTTTTTTATAGCATAAGTACCACCTTTCAAGAAAACCCACATGAGATATAACCAAGAAATTCTAAAAAGATCCCAACTTTCACAGCTAAGTCTACGATCCCAATCAAACGTCAGCAAAGACAGGTAAAATCAAAGAAGGGGCAGGGAAACAACCTTTGTTTGACGTCAGTTTTCTCCAACAAAACAACATCTGTATTCACACAGTATTGCTCCTCGTGTCTTTGGTTTTCTTAAGAGAACAAAGCAGCGACGAAACTGTCGTAAATTTCGAAGAAGAGAGGAAAGAAAGCTGCTTTTTTACTGTTACTTGTCTGTAAGCGAGTGCCATTGCTGCTGCTGATATGGCACGAATCAAGATCAGCGTTTCTTGCCCGCTTGATTTTCAGACATCATAATTAAATAATAATCTAGTCCCTCTGGTTTGCAAAACTATATGAGGGATCCTTGTAAAATCCAAAACAATTAATTAAGTAATAAATTTTTGTTCCGAGATTGACTTATTTCCTCATCAAATTTTCTCATATTATATGTTTTTCCTTTTCTGTATCTTTTTTTTTATATAAAAAAAACAGATCATAAGAATATGAAATAAACAAAAGAATTTATTTATTTATAATCTGATTAAAAAAATATGTGTTTTTTTCAAAATTACGGGAATTAATTAATTTCATTAAAACATAAAGAATTTTTTTTAATAATCTTTAGAAAAAAACACAAAACAAAATTATGTATTTAAATTTTTTTAATAACACAAATCCCCAATGAACAAATTATCTCGTCTTCAAAATTATTTGTTGAGTGAAGAAATCTAGTAGTTTTTATGTCTAATATTGTTATAAATTCAAATAATATTTGTGGGATTGTCTATGGTTTATAGGAAAGATGCTCGTGTCTTGTTTTGTAAGAGAGTTAATTATTAAACTTATAAACATTCACACAAAATTTGTAATTCACCAATTCAAGGTTTTATCTTATTTGATGCATTAAATCTGTTAAATATTTAATAAATTTAAACAAATTTTTTAAAAGTATAAAATCATTTACATTGAAAGATTATTAAATGATATTAATTATGGTCATACAACAGTATATTTGATATCACAATGACTTTAAAAATAAAATATTTGAAAAGAATAAATTTTTGGTATTTTATTTTCAAGGAATAACTTTGTTTATATGGTATTGTGATTACCAAGAATTCTAACTGATCAATATAGATTTTATAATAAGAAATTGGTTACGTTAAAAAAAAGATATTATTATCCATTGAATATCTTTTTTAAGACAAACTACATTGTTAGTTTTATCATAAATTGCTAATGTTTTATTTGTTTATGTTATGATAGTTTTGTATGTAGTAGTGTTCCTAACTTTGATATCACCGAATATTCAACTACGAATACTTTTAATTTTAATGTTGATAAATATTATGTAGATATAAAAATAAAATAAATTTAAATTAGTATTTTTATTCCTGACTCTAGTGTTAATGAACAAAAAAAATATAATAAATTTATTTTTATACATATAATTTTTTTATGTAGCTAAATAAAATTAAAATACAACACAATAAAATAAAATAAATGTACATCAATATGTTTATTACTGACAACAATAAATAAACTAATAATTTTTTTTATTTTATATCTATATTTTTTTTATTTTTATATAACTAAATAAAATATAATAAAATAAATTTGAATCAGTATTTTTATTCTTATTTTAACATAAAAAATAATAAAATTATATATATATATATATTAATAATTTTTTTTATTTTATATCTATATATTTTTTTTATATAACTAAATAAAATATAATAAAATAAATTTGAATCAGTATTTTTATTCTTATTTTAACATAAAAAATAATAAAATTATATATATATATATATATATATATATTTTTTTTTAAATCAGGTCAGGTTTAGCTCAACTTATATAGGTTGTGCTAGACCCAACCAGCCCAGGTTTAGCTCAACTATATTTATATAGGTTGTGCTAGACCCAACCAGCCCGGTCTAGCTACTGGCTGAAACTAATGGCTTGCTGAGCTAAGCTGAAGGCACGCGTGAGTTACTTCACCCATGCTGAACAGTGCAAAGGTAATTAAATTACCTATGCAAGATGTTTATGCTACATGATATGCAGAGAATGAAGGAAGAAGGGCGTACCTGCTTCTGAAGACGACGAAGATGGTTGCAGCGCTGGTGGTGACTCCCTTCTACTGCTTCCCTTTGTCTTCCTTCTGTGTCCACTTGTCTGCCTTTTTTTTTCTCAACAACTTTCAGGATGGAGGAATTAAGAAGACGATGAAGATGCTGGTTGGACTTATTTTGACTGATTTCTGGGTTGTTCTTTTTCTGCAGGAACGGAGACAATGGTTGTTTCTCTTATTTTTTCTCCTTCTCTTTTGTGTGTCTATTTTTTTCTGCTCTGTTTTCTCCTCCGTCTATTTTTGTTTTATTATCCTCCCCTGTGTTACTGTTTTGAGTCTGGAAAAGCCCCCCTCTTTGTTTGTTGTTCGTGGTCTTCTTTGTTTCCCAAGTCCAGTGCGCTTCCCATTGTTCATTATCCCTGTTTCGTTCTCTGTTAAACCTCTTGTTCTGGGTCTGTTTCTTGTCAGCTCTCCCTTATTTCGTTCTTCTCCTCCCCCTGTTTTTGTGTTTTCCTCTAGCTTTTATAAAGCCAGAGAACGTGGTAATGATTTTGGGAGTGAGCCAAGTCCGTCCATGCGTGCTAGAGAAAAATAAAAACTGGGGACTTGGACTGCATTGTGTCCCACGATTTGCAGTTACAGATTTCTTGCTGAACCGGTCTCTCTTGAGCAAGGAAAAAGATGGAGAATAGTGGATACATAAACGGCGCCGTTTATAGCTGGAAATGATTATTTTCAACTTGACCTCTGAACTTATAACATTTAACAACTGGGTCCCTGATTTCATTAATTAAATAATTTCAAGTTCAATTAATTCCCTAAACTTTCAGTTTATATTATCTCAGCCCAAATTTCAATTTATTCCTCATTTTTATTATTTCATATTTTTTATTGTTTTTTAAATAAAATAAAAGTAAAAAATTGAGTTATGAAGAACGTTATTTGGAATCAAATCAATTCTGGCTTTTTTATATTTTTTGAAATAATGTTATTTTGGAGTTATTTTTTCAAGTATAAAATATTTGAAAGAAAAAAAAAAAAATTTCATTAACCCTAACCTGATAAAGCTTTGTAATTTTTTCATTAACCCTAACCTGATAAAGCTTTGTGTCTATAAATTATGATGGATATATCCATCAAACGAGATCAGGTCCTGCAGCTATACTACCAAAACAATATTTCTTTGTTTGCAAAAAAATAATAATATTAAAACTCACTATCATGATAATATCCACGGGTTCCACTTTGGGAAGAAGCTAAATGGGCCTCAAAAAAAGAATCGATAAAAAAGAATTGATACAAAAAAATCACAGAGGGAAATTTTAATCAATGACAAACCAAGCAACTGTTGCCCAGTCCAAGGTAGCCCAAGACAGTAACTGGGCTGCACCGACCACCTTGTCAATCTCATATTCTGGTCAGCTCCAATGAACAGTGTATGCGTGGACATTGTTGGCTCTGCGGGATGAAAGATAGGTTGCAGAGAAAAGGGACCAATGGAATTGCTTTTAGCACAACACTCTGATCGCTGGTAACACCTTCTTTATGTTTGTTCTTGTTTTTTTCTTTCCATGTGATCATGTTTTGCTGCCTATGGAGCAAGAATTAATGTAATGTAGGATAGGACAAGGCAGAGAAAGAAAAAGATATGTTCTTGTAAAAGGGTTCTTGATTTGAGTTTGTTTTCTTGACAAAAGATGTTGGCTTTTTAGGCATTATGTCGTTTCCTATGCTGTATGTTTGTAAAAAGTAATTGTTTTTTCCTGGAGATTGAGATGGTTGTTTGTGATTTATTCAGCACCGTGCTGAACATGAGCTATACAATGGGTGATGTGGTCTGTGTAGGAGGATTTGGTTGGTTGTTCTTGTTCTGTCCTTGTTAAACTGCTTAGAAAATGCCAATATTTGTTATCTTGATAAAAATTGTCTTTGCTACTGAAGTTCTTCAAGACTATGTTTTGATTCGGCCGTCCCCTATGTTCAATGAATTTGGGATTCAAATTCTCGAAGAAGATCATTCTATTATGAGCAGAAGTGGTAGAATCTTGTTTTTTCAATGATTAATTGGCATTTGCTGGCTAAGCTGAGTCTTGGTTAACAGAAGAAATGAAAGGAGACAAGAAGTAGGATGCTAGGAGTATATTGGTTCAACTTCAAAGGTAATCATATTATCTTTAGTTCATTGTAAGTGATTGGCATGGTTTTTCTGGGCAAATCTATTTTGCGAGTCTCGGTGTCACAAGAGGCTGGTGCATTGTGATTGTATTGAAGAACTTGCCTTTTAATACTGCGAGTCATGCAACCTCCCTGCTTTCATTTATGCTTTCAGCTTAATTCTACTTGATCACCAAAGATTTCTGCTCTTTGGACATGGACAAATCAGATCATGAATTGTTCATGACTGATATTTGCAAGAGAGCTCACTGTCTGCTTGGTCAGACATGAATGCACCGTGCTCTTTGTTGGGTTTATTTCTCTTGCTCTGATATGCTGGCTAGAATATTGAAGATGATTGGACAAGCTTTACATAAATGCAACTGGGACAAGTTGAGTTCTTCACAGTGCTTGAAACTGTCATATTGAGCATACTTAGAGAAATCTGATTGGTTTTGGAATTAAACCAATGAAACTTTGGAAAATGGATTACCTTGCATTGGAAACTTTATTTATTAGAAGGATTTTTTCAGGCTTTTAAAATAATTAGCTTTTCTAACTTGAAAACAATTTTTCCGAGTTTAATTTATAGAACTAAAATAAGATGCATCCCCTAATTTGGAAGTTGTACAGTAATCTACACAAACCCAAATTTATGTTTGATTTATAGGAAAAACATTGGTTCATGCCTTACCCTGTGATTGACTGACACGTCTAGCATTGCCTAAATTATTTTGCATCACAAAGATGCAAACCTTGTAAATTTTTGTATTGTGCATGTATCGAAAGTTAATTCTGTCAACATTTATATTCTCTACTCTATTATAGGAATTGTTTTGTGCTTGGTTTGCGACAAGACACTTAAATTAATCATCAAGTAATATTCTTCACTCTCTCTCACTGCAACAAAAATTCTAACTCTACAAGACTAGGCTTTTTGGTTTTGCAAGATTCTAACTCTACAAGAACAGGCCTTTTGGTTTTGGCTTGATCACTTTTGCAATCCTGTTCCTTTTTTAATAATACATCAGCTCTTGCCTTGTAAAAAAGAAGAAGGAAGACCAAAAAGGTCCTTTTTCAACTATATTCTTAGATGTATTTCATCGATACCACTTAATTAATACAAAGAAGGGGAAACAAGTATTAAATCTTATCTTATTCATGTAAATATATTCTTTCAGAATATCTTAGCATATTTTCTTGCTAGCATGTAAATGTGGAATGAATCAATCTCCTCTATGGAATAAAACTTGGCAATGAAGATTCTTGAAAGCAACTTATGTTTGAGTTTGGCTGAGCAGTGGTGGCCTAAGTTTGGAATATGCTAGGCTATTCTATCTCAAATCACATAATTGTGTTTATTTCTTCTATTGTTGTTCTATGTTTTAGCCTTTTAATCTGCTCCTTCAGATGTTTTTTGCTTGTGGTTTTTTTTTTTTAATTTTTTTTATGAAGTCTATACGATAAAATGATGCTAGCCTACTGAAGTTTTTTTTAATGTGTATTAACATTAATAGATGACGTTGTGAATTGTTTTCTTTATTCATATGCTTGTATTAAGTGCATGACATGGTGAATTGTTTTCTTTAATAGCTATATCAGATGACCATCTTTTGCCCTTCCTTTTCTCATTCATTTCATATGCTTATTCTTATACAATCTTTACTTTTACATTCTTGGTAGCCTTGCTAAGGTTTGAAATTGTAGTTCTGTGGACTGAATTGCTGAAAGCCTGAAGAGCTTGTAATTTCCATTGTTTGAACGCATAACAGAGATTTGCATCTCACTTTTTGAGGGGAAAAAGGGATAGGAAGAAGTTCTAGGCCAAAATAGAAAACACAGTGGTTATAATTTTTGGGTTCACGCTGTCGTTAATCTCCAGCATTAAATGTTATCTCAGTATTACACATGTTCTGTTGGTAGCAGCCTTCAATAGATAATTCTACTGCTGGTTTTACATTTTCATATTTTTATTGTAGACAAGATGTTGTTGAACTGCAGCCCCTCTAGATACTTATTATCTAAGGGAATACACAAGTTCTACTTGTGCCATTTTTCTTATTATCTAACAGAATTGTCTTTTTGCACTTGGTGGATGCATCTAGATGTTTATGTCACCACCAAAACGTTTTTTGTGGATTTGGAAGATCTTATAGAAAATGTGGCAGGAAGTGTTGATTTGGACAGTTACTCTGTAATCTTTTGCAAGCCATGTAAAACACTAAATAAATGCTTTATGAATTAAAAAATTCAAGAAATTATGTTGAATGATATGCTTTTAGTTAGTAGGAGATTGTCAGGGGCCACCCTCTTACGTGGAACAAGGAAGCATACACAAGGAATATTCCAGAGTTTAGATTTCTTTGTAAAATGAAGAAAAGAACTGGGAAACACAGTACATTGCTACTCTTTTTTTAGAAACAATACTAGTACTCAATAGCGCCTAGGTAGCATTTTCATAGAAAAGATTTTCTATTTGTGTAATTTTTTATGAATCTGTTTTCATTGTTTCAATAAATGTTTATAAAATAACCTTTTAGATAGCATGCATGCATTTGTGCTTACATGTGCTTAATTAGCATTTCATTGTTAACAAGATTAATGCATCCGAAGGATTAGTCATTTAGAATTAATTTACTTTACTAGGAACAAATGGTTTATGTGCAATTCTCAATAGAGAACTTATTGGAATAATCAATAAAACAGGAATGTAGATGTAACTAGTAGTATTGTACCATATTCATAATTGGAATTGGGACCAAACATAGCTCTCAATATGGAAAATCAAAATAAAAATAATCCTCATGGTGGCTGCACATATTCCTTTGACTACTGGCTAATGTTATCTCCTTCATGAGGCTTGTCTTTGCTACTTGATCTAGTCAAGTGTTGATTTAAATTGCTTGCAGTATCAAAGATAGTAAATGGTTTATTTGATATTTCAACTCCCATCACATGCATGCCCTATTAAATGTAGGTCCCCTATTGTGTGAATAGTCTATATTGAAGGTCCTTAGTGCTCAATGGAAAATGGGAGATTTACTTTATTCTGTTGCAATTGTCATTGGTAGTTTGAGTGCTTTTGAAAAACAAAAGGAGGTATTCTGGACCGATAAAATTATGGAGATACTCATGTCTGCCTTATTACTTTTTGCTTGAATAATTAAGTACAGTGATTACTCAGGGAATGAACTGTGTGAACCATTGAAAGCTATTCCTCAGTAGTCTGACATATAGATATGCTAGAATCTCTTAAACAGCATGTTGCCCCCTTTTGAGTTCACTTTTCATTAGATCCTTTGACTGTGGCTGACGGTGGTTGAATGTGAAATGAAAACGGGAAAGATTCATTACACTAACCTTATCCAGTGAGAAAGCAAGCATTAGAGAATCATGGAAAATTAGTTGTAGGACCATTAAAGTACAAACTTCACTCATTTTTAGAGAATTATAGGACAGTTATATAAGGTTACAATCCCGCATCTTTGGTAAGTTATGTATTAAGGATGCTTTACCTGCATGTATAGAGAGAGACGGGTCTGTTGGAGAACAATAACTGTCCACTCTCTGCATTTGTGATGGTTTTTATAATAATCATTTCCTTTTTCTTTTTCAAATTATTGTTCTGGTTAATAAAGGATCAACCATGTATGATGTACTCTTCATAAAACAAATAATCTTCTGTGTGCTTGGCTGCCAATGAGTCAAGTTAATGGCTGAATTGTGGCTGAATAATCACGTGGAGGATCTTGTTGAATGATATCGATTTGTGAGTTTTCTCTCCAGAATGATATCCAAATAGAAACCTGACTTGTCTAGGTTTTTCTGTTCCTTTTTTCTGGCCACTATAGCTTGGAAGTTTGTCCTTGGATTGAACAATGAAGTATTGCACCTAATAAATGATGAGATCAACATTGGAAGAAAGCCTTAAAAACAGGGAACACAGGGTGAGGAAAATGGAGATGATTTCTTGCCTCTTCACAGCTGTTGCTAACTTTCTATTCTAACCCTTTTGATGTTGATGTGCAAGACATTGTATAAGCTGATGCTGCCGTATTAAACAATGTGCGAATGGATCTAAGACTAGTACCATGCTAATATTGTTTTTATTGAATTTTGTCTGTGGCTGTAGCACAGTTTCATGCTGCTATATGGCATTGTGTCATTGGTGTGGACTGATTGCTGTAAAAGTGGATTAAGACGTCTGAGGAGGTATGTCCATGATAGAACATTATACCATCTACTGTTTATAGTTCATTTACTCTCTCTTATTGGTTTTCTCTATGCTTTAAATATCCGGAGCAATGGGACCTGGCACTTCTTTTGTCACACATATGTTAACTCTTTATCCAAGAAAATATATCACTGTTGTCTTTAGAATTAGATTCATTGTAGGAATAACCAACACTTAATTGCAAAATCATTACCATATACATTTCGTCTACTACTACTGTTTTCCAGTGCCTTCTACTATAAATATTAGTTAATATTGGAAATGTTTGGCTTGTTTGATGGAAAAATTTCAACTAGCTCCCGCAGCATTCTAGTTACAGTTGCTGTTTGTGAGAAGACAGGAGACCGTGATAGTTATCTATTTACATGGGTTAAGGCACCTTCCTCACATGTCGTAAGGGATTTCTGATTTTAAGATGAATAATGGCCAGTGTTATGAGAAAGATATTGCCTTTTGAAATATTCTCTGGCCAGGGGCAAGTATTGCCAGGGGGTCATAAGTAGATTTTCTTTGGGAAAAAACTTCCCATCGTGGGCCAAAGTGGGCTTTCCATTCTTCATGTGTAGTGTAGTGGGGCAGATATTGCTTCATCCCAAGGCGGGCTATTTCACAAAATTCTAGAATTCTTTTATTCTGAGTTAAGATGTGTTCTAAGCCATCAGTTCCTGTGGATGAGGGCACTGCAGAGGTAAGGAAAGCCACCAAGTAGAAAATATTTGCCTCTGGAATAACAGCAGAAGTTCTGTTGTCCCATCTGAAATCAGAATTAATAAATCAATCAATCAAAAAAAAAGTTGGAAAATTCACAAAATTAAACTTAATTCTTTTTTCAAACCGTTACTTTGATTTGTTAACTGGGTAGATAAGGACTGGACCGTTGCTGGTGTCTGTGAGGATATTGCCAAAGACTTCGTCAGCAAATTCGTTTATTTTGCTTTTGGGTATAAGAAGATTGAGCCATGGATGTGGAACTTCCCACAAGCCCTTGGACCGTAGTTTGACCTCAGACACATGAACTCTATCCAAGAATTCTATGTATGGAACTTCTGTTTGAAACAGTGTTGATGTGATGTATCTTAGTTGAGACAACAAATTCCCGACTTCCTGCGTGATAAAAACAGATTTTGAGTAAAGCCGTTTCATTAATTAGTTTCTGGTTTCCTAAGCAGTTTACTTGCTTATGAAAACCAAAAGATAGCGGGCCATGTGCTCACCTCATTGAGTGCATCTGCCCTGTCTCGGTTGAAGTATTTGGCCAATTCTAAGCAGTATAGAGTTCTTCCATCCGATTGAAACTGGCTAGCTTGAACTGGGTCTTGAGGATCGAAAGATGATCTCCAGTTGTTCAGGAGAGAAGTCCTGTTAATTATCACAAATCCTTCAATGTAGTCGAATGTGCTTTCTGCACCTATCAAACGCTCTTGGTCTGTGGCAAATGTTGTAAAATCCGAGTAGAGAACTCTAATCCATTTCACCTATTCAAAATATGAAACTGTCTTGTGAGAAATGATACTTACTACTGTAGGCATAATTTCATTCTCCTGCTTTAATTTTGTAAAACTTCCTTGGATGCAATGTTTATGCTTTTACCATATCAGGTGCTGGTTCCAAGGATATTCTTGCCCGAGTTATGATGCCAAACTGACCAAGTCCTCCAAGAACACTGTGAAATAGGTCGCTATTTTGCTTCTCCGAGCAATTTAGTACTTCCCCTTTTCCTGCACTCAGTTTCAGTAATTTTACATAAAGGATTTGTGCGATACACGATTTTTTTTCATGCTATTTATTCATATGTGTGTGCTCGTGAACCCTCATGTGTTTTATTTTTGTACTTGAACATCAAATTATTGGCAATGGTCAAGTTATCTTATGTGGAACCAAGGTGTGGCACAGCATGCATAGCAAGGACGTCATAAATACTTCACTCGACCCTGGTTCCATTATGCCTAGATTGAAATTATCCTTTTGTGATGCGTACTGTGTTATTGTTTTTCCCTTCTCCTTTTTTAATCTATTTTCGAAATTTTACTAATCTTTAACGAACCTGTAACAACTTCCATCTGGTGGACATTACTGATCTGAGGGCCATGCCGAAATGCCTGCCCACTAACCCCGGCATTAGACAAAGTACCACCAACAGTTAAATGTAGGTAGTCTGTCCATGATTTTGGTGCTAATCCATACTCCAGGCATTCACGCAGGATATCTATCCATAACTCACCGCCAGAGGCATCCACATATGGATTGTTCCCAGTGTAGACATGCATTTTAGGGCCTTGGAGTGATTCCATGTTGATTACAACTCCTTGATGGGCTTGTGCCTGACCCTGGAGTGAGTGGCTGTGACCTCTAGCTGCAACTGTGAGCTCTGAATTCGGACCCATCTGCCAAATATGCCTTATTGTAGTGGCAATATCAGAAACCGACTTTGGATATAGTACTGCCAAAGGGAGTAGCTGAAACCTATTGCCGAAGTCTTTGGCTGCATGGTGAACTTCATCAAAGCTGAAATGCCCGTCAACGGATAGGGTTCTCAATGAAGAAGGGTTGCTGGAAAAACAAAGGTTTATTCTTATGGTCATGCAGCAAAGGAACAAAATCATGAAGCTTCTTATGAAAAGCATCTTGGTTTGTTTGAGGAAGCTCACTGGTAGATATCTTCTTCGCTTTTTTTTTTTAAGCTTGAAAGTTGAGGAGACAAAGGTGTTAAGCTGGTTTACCTGCGCGTTTGTTAGCAAGAAGGCTAAAGGAGTGTTATGGAGGAGCCAAGGAAATGGAGGGTCGAGGGGAGAATTTAAAGGTGAAGATCTTGGATGGCTGAGTCAACCAATATTCGGTTTAAAGAATCCGTATGAAGACTGCCTACTTGTTAGGACTTTCTTTTGGTTCTCCTTTTTGTGCTCTTTTATTTATAACAACAACCATCAAACACAGATGCCAAGTTGAAGAGAAAAGTCACAAGAAAGAAAGATTTCACAAATCTTTGCACTTTTTCCCAACAGTTGCAACCACAATCTCACCTTTTCCACCAAATACAAGCATGTCTCGACATTTATCTCACTTATCATGGTAAGGCAACTTTTTCCTATATCTAGAAAAAGGAAATGCCCAATGGCTTCACGGTATGCGTATCTCCACTGCCTCTGATGACAGGTATTCTCATACCTGTCTCTCGTACATGAATTATTATAGACCATGTTTTTTTCGCTGTCGGAATGTAAGCATCGCGTATCTGCATTGAGATCAGATGGGAGGCTACGGGCCTCCCTTGGATTTATTTGAAGGGGAGGGACGATCAGGTGGGGTATTTATGGGTCCATATAACATGTGAAATGCTAATATTTGTGTGCTTTGTGGGGTGAAAGGTTATGATTAGTCATGTTGGGACCCTTTTGAACCAGTTCGAAGAGGTAGGAAGAAGAGCAGAGTAGATGGGGAGGACAGATTGAGGGAAGCACTGAATGACTCTTCTACTTCCTCGCTGTTGTCTATTGTTTTGAAGCCCAAGTTCCCAGAAAACGGACAAGTCCGAAGGATTCTCTTGTTTATTTGTTTGCAAGTTCAGTTAAATTAGGCCAGTGCAATTATTGCCTTCACTTTTTTGCAACGAGTTGCTTAACAGCACCGAGATTTGCACTTGGAGAGGGAAGCATCTTGCACTTCCCTTAGTATTGGCACTGAACTTACCATGTCAAGGATTCTCTTAAGCACCAGTGTAAAAGGAAAAACAGCAGTCAAATATGAGCAAAGGGCTGTTTTTCCTAGTTGGTAACTGGTTGTCATGGAAACTGAAAAGGACGAAGGAAAGGAATTCAACATCTTCAAAATTGATACATCTTGAAAATTGATCTCCGCAAACCCTCGTGTGCTTCCACAGAACAATGTGCTTTAGATGTTCATGCTTATAGTGCATCTGGCCTTGCATTTGATCACATTCTTGATTGGGATTGACCAAATATTAGCTCATTAAATCCTGTTAACACATTACATGATGCCAATGCCGCACCTATTAACAATAATGGGTTCCATTTCAGTGCACAGGAGGGGAGCTAGCTACGATCCAGATGTTGGGGGATAAAGGAGAAAATTTTAAGAAATGGCGAGGACAAAATATCTGAATAGAAAAGGGATGAATTTGAATTGCTAAAACTAATTAATGAGGGCTAAACTGAATTTGTTTTTGTAAAGTTTCAGAGGGCCAATTGCCCCTCCATGACGGTATGCCCTGGAGATCCCACTGGGTGTGATGGTTTGATTTGGATTAAAAATTCTAAATGAATTGATTTCTTTTTTTTAATAAAAATTGAATTGAACCAAATTGAATAAATGAACCAAACTGATTGGTATGGTTTGATTCATTTCGGTTTAACATTTATTAAAATTAAATAAGTTATATTTGAATCATTTATTAAAATTGAATAAGTTAAATTTGAATTATAGATTCCGATAGATTATTTTTAACCAATTTTAATTTAATGAATCTTTAGTTTATATCAAGCTTTTGGTTTATTGTAATCGGTTTGAGTTGAGTTTTTTTTTTTTAATTTAAAATCAAAACCGAATTAGAAATCATACATTCAGTTGGGTTAATTTCGGATTAGTTCTTGCAGATAGTCTAGTCAATCTGATTATTTTACTCACCCTCGCATCGCACCAACTAATCAGATGATTTTTGTCCAAACAAATCCTGTTTGAATAATATTTTTCCGTCGCAGAAACATCTTCTACATATGTGTATGCATCTGTATTATGGAATGGTGGGGTTTCTTTTACTGCTAGAAGTTGTTTAGGTAAAGTGAACAAAACTTAAACTTAATGGGAAGAAAACGACACAACACGATGATACGAGGAGGAAAACAACGTGAAAGAGACTGCATTGACAAATCAACTACTGACTCGCACTCAACTCCAAGTTCCTTTGAGGTGGATTTTGACAACGTTTCGAATAAAACAAGGAAGCATTGTCTCCAACTCAGTGTCCTAATTAACTTGGACTGGGGTCTTCTTTTGTGGGATTATAATATTGTAATCTCATGTTTTTGGAGTAGATATTGCACTCAAATACCTCTAATTATGGGGGCTATAGTGTGAAAGTGTAGTGTGTGAACATGTTGTGACATTAATTGTTCTTTTCATTTGTGGTGAATAACCTAATCTTTGATTACGTGCTTTCTAGAAGGAGACCGACCATTAATAAAGAAAACCAGGCATGATTAACAGAGCTTAATGATGATTACAGGAGACACTCCCTATAGCCATAAACACTGATCAAGCGGGCCTTCATGTCCATTGATGCTTCAATCTTGCAATGCATAAGCCTCTTTACAAGTCAAGAATTGTCTAATTCTACTCGTAACACTTGTCATGTAAGGATCGAGGGGACGGCTAGAGTGGTTCCCATGCCACCTTCCATGGTCATGTCATTGTAAAATCATTAATAAAACAAATTAGTGACACTAAGCATGCCACATCATACTAGCCTAACGATTTGATTGGGTAGTCATATGTCGACGACAAACCTATAATAACTCGACAAGTGAGGGGGAAGGCCACTAAGTTGGATGTGGTGGGTTGATTTCCACGTTAGGGTTCAGCTCAATATGATTATGATAATGTTAATCATGCCAAATAAGACTAAAACGATTGCACTTAATTAGAGGGGTTGGTAGGGCACAAAACCAAAAATTTGATTTAAACCCTAGAGGTTATGAAATCATAATTATCATGTTACTTCTTCCCACTTTTAATCCACTTTAATCAATGTTTCCTTGTCGCTCTTTTCATTCATACAAGGTTAAAACTAGTAACTGTGTGTAATCTCTTGTTTTGTCGTTCATGGCCTCTAGCAACGTAAACCTAGCTAATCAATGTTGTCTAAGGTAGCTAGCTAGGTTAAAAGCAACAACAAAAGAAATCCATCCACGTGGTAAAAGCCAAAACTCATGAAATTTGTATTATTGCCTTTCTGATATTCCACTTCTACATTCATGAATGACAAGGTGACTGATGACTATCAGTTTTACTTAGAAAATTTTCAAGTGTGATATGTTGTTTATGTGCGTGTCTAGACATTGAATTATTAACTGTCACAAAATGTTTGACTTCAAATGTATAATACTTGTGAACATTGCATGGTGCTTGCATCACTTAGTACTATGTTTGAAAAACCATACAATATATATAGAACCTTAATTAAAGGTTCTTTTTTTTCATTAATGATTAGTGAATCATAATGTATAATGGAATACTATTTATTTTATGCGCTAACTTGTGGATTAATCTAAAGTTTTTTTTTTACTGATTAATTTTTACTATTTATTAGAAGAATTAATTTTCATTATTTTCTTTTATTTCTAGACTTGTTTTCTCCCCATCCTTGTATTTTATCTGATTAATTCATCCTTGACAGTGACAACCAGAGTGTATATATATATATATATTTTAAGTATTGATTGCAAACTTAGTAAAATCTATTTTCAAGTTGGATTTCCATATACCTTGTAAGGTGATGCTGACTTAAAAAGAAACAAATCAAAACACAGTATCATGCCAGCATGTTTCCAGGAGGCATAATTTCTTCTGTGCATATACAAAATGAAAAGGCAAAACCCATCAATGAAGGTTTCTAAGTAACAGTTTCAACAAAATGATGATTAATTTTCTATAAATCAATCTTTGCTCTACCTTTTTTTTATGATTCTTTATATTCTTTTAGTATATTTCCTTGTCTCAAAAGTTAGGGAAAGTGTACAGTACAAGTGAAGAGATGAACTGTCCAGCATATGAAGAAAACCTAGACTTGCTCAGCAAGTTGGTTTTTAATTTATTAGGCCAACCCTCTCCCTTCATTTTAATTCATCTAGCTAGGGTTCTATACATGCCTTACTTATTTTTCTTGTCTAAATTTCATTTATGTTGGTGTGCCTGTGCACATGTGTGTAGCTTTATGTTAACACTATGCTATTAATATTAG